CATGAATGTTTTCTAGGGATCCCATCAAACTTGAGCTTGATGATACATGGTAGAGGAAAAGGCCGATCACATTTTGATTGTGCCGTGATCAGAAATCGCTGAATGACCTTTGGACAATATCTCTAAAACTCTGCAATTTAAACTCCTTGCCTTGTACTTCTATTGGTTGTTCAATTTCCCATTGCTAAATTTGTGTTCCATATATTCTTAGCCGAGCTAGGATGCATATATCACATATCATATAACAATTATCACAGAGGAAAACACGGTAATTTATCAAAGTACCCATAAGAGATGAACTATTTAACATTCTACCCATTTATAATCATTTTCTGCTAAATGGGATTGATATCATAAATCTAATGATTATGAATCATGCTCTCATGTTAGCAAGATCAAGGTTCCCTGCTATGGAACCATATTTCTGGAGTAGGACCATCCCCTAAGGAAGGCACTCCCTGTAACTATGTTTCATCCATGTTATGTGTGCTTCATATTTGTCAAGTTTGGGTAATGAATGGCGATGGATTGAAAAGTCTATAGTAATGTGTAGTGAATAAGTGCTGACTATATGGTCAACTTCATTTGTTGAAGCTTTTATCGTTGAATGAAACAACCTGATAGAATCCATATTAGAATTTGATGATTAATGAAATGCCTTAGTTACCGGGAACATGTAGGAAATGTTTGTTGGAATGGAATTGTGAGCTAGTGAGGCTATTTTCTTGGGATTCACCGAGGGAAGATGTCCTCTTTTTTTGTTTTTTAAACTTTTTATTTTATTTGTGTTTTTTATTTTTTTGGGGAAGGGGGGGGGGGAAGAATGCTACCTATTAAAGATTCATGTAACTATAATTGGAGATTTGCCTCAAGTTCTGTGAAATTTTTAAGTGCCTTTGGATCCTGGATTTTTTGACCAATAAATTCAGGTGTGAGACTTGAAATGAGCAATGGATATCTATTTTGTTTGACCATCATTTTTTTTTTTTGAGAAATGTTTTGACCATCAACATTGTGCATTAGTGTCTGAAAACTCGAAGGAAGCATTTGCAACTAGGTTAGTTAATTTTGAAGGTAGCTTCTTAGACAGACTGTACCACTAAATTTCGTTGGCACATTACTTGATTGAGGCATATCCTTTAATTACAAGCATATCGTCAAGAGTTGCCACCGTAAGCAATAGACTTTTTCTTGTACGAAAGAAATCTATGTTTCTGTGATTGGGTTACTTTATGATATTCTGTGAATTTGAGGTCCATATTGTGTTTCAAAACATGGAACCATGATAATAGTAAACATGCTTTTTTCACAAAAACTGTTTCCCTGAATGTCATCTAGATTTTTTTATGCTCAGAATTTCTCTTAAAAATTCTTTGCGTTATTGCTTAGCATTTTGGATACTGTTTCAGCCAATTAGCATTATTTTGAGTTGTTTTCAAATACAAAGTGTTCTTTTTTGCCTAAAATGTAAAATGACTAACATAATGGGTTTCATATTTCCATGAGCATTTCTAATGGCAAATTGAAATCAGGCAAACCACAGATTCAGCACACACATGCAACGTCGCCTTTATGGACATGCAACTGATGTCGAGATCCGGCCTTTAAACGAGGAGAAAGCTGTTCAAGCTGCTGCTGACTTTATTGGAGAATTTTTTGTATTCTCGGTACATACTCCGTTTCTTCCTAGAACCTTTGTTGACATTCTATTGCTAGCTGGGAGCCTAAAATTTTAGATATGATATGCAAAGTATGTACCATTGTTTCTTTCTCCTAAATCTCCTTTATTCTATTAAAAATTTATGATTTCAGATTGTTAGTTATGTCATTTGAGGGCAAATGTGATATTCTTTTCTCTTCTCCTTTGGGTCAATAGCATGATATTTTGTTCATTATCGTCTGTCTCCCGTCTTAAACTTCCAACTTCTTCATGGATCTGTGGCAGCATTGCATGATGGTTCTAAAATTGCTTACCAAGCCTAAGGAAGACATTACTTAAATTTTTCTTGTAGCTTTCAAAATCAAAACGTCACTAACAACCGTTTAGCAATCATTTCTTGATAAATATATGACTTCTGTCAGGCCTAAACTTGAGCCAGGATATGCAAGAACATTGCAGAAGAAAACAGAACTTTTTAGTAGAAATTTGTCCTTAGTAATCATGTTATGTTATCCATCATAGAGAAAAGAATAATACAATGCCCCATCATGTCTTTGCTACCTCTATGAGCACAAGTTAAAATATACAGTGGAAAAGAAGAAGATAGACGGAGAAGAAGATTGAGAGAGAGAGAGAGAGAGAGACAAAGAGAGTTTGAGAGAGAGAGTCATGTTTAGGACAAAGGAAGGAAGAGAGGTAGTCATGTTGGGTTCTCAAATCACCCCCCCCCCCCCATCCCCCCCCCCACACACCCACGCACACACATAAAATTTATTAATACATATTATCATTATTTACTAGTATACAATGATGTTTTTTAAGTGAGGGAAAAGACTTAGTAGTCCTTAAGGACTTAAATACAATAGAAAGGAGTATAATTTCAACATTCACAACACTTCCCCCTCAAGATGGTGCATAGATATCCCCCATGCCCATCTTGCTTAAGATCACTTGTAGTCGAGGTTTCTGAATGGCCTTAGTAAGAATGTCTACTAGTCAGTCTTAGGTTTTTACATAATCCTCATCATCATAGCTTTTTCCCAATTAATTGGGGTTGGCTACACGAATCCTGGCCTGTCATTCTACTCTATTAAAGACCATACCCTCAGTGAGGCCATAAGTCCCATATCTTTTCAGACTACTTTCAACCACGTCCTTTTGCGCTTACCCTTTGCCCTTTTCAGTCAACTAACTCGCACCTCCTAATAGTTGTTGTACTTCTTCGATGCCACACATGGTCCGTCCACCTAAGTCTACCATCTTAGGTTTTCACATATGGAAGGAAAATTTCTTTTGTCGCAACTCTTTCTTGATGAAATGGCAGTCTACCACTATATGCTTGGTTCTATCATGCTAGATCGGATTGTGAGCTATCCTAATGGCTGCCTTGTTATCGTAACTCAAGCAAATTGACCCCTTTACGTGAAAACCAAACTCTCGTAATAGGATTTGTAACCAAGGCACTTCACTCTCACCATGAGCCATGGATCAATACTCTGCTTCTACACTTGAACGGGCTACAAGAGAGAGTTTTATTGCCCCTCCAAGTCACAAGGTTACCCCCAACCAGAGTACAATAGCTTTATATATATACATATATATATATATGGAAAAGTCTTCCCAACGCCTATTGGCGAAAATGAACAGTGATTTTGCCTACCATCATCACGTTCCAAAGTTCATCGCACAGTCACGATTGTCCGGTAGTGTTTCATTTTTAATTTGTTTTATACAAACCGGAATGATTTGAAATTTGGAGGGTGTGTACATCTTAACGAGGCGCACCTAATAAAAATATAAAAAAAATAATTTGCGAAATTGTTTTTGACCAAAATACCTCCCCAAAACTTTTTGGGGGTATTTTGGTCAATTTTTTCATGTAAAATATTTTTTTGATATTTTTCGTAGATTCACCTATTTTTTATGAACACACGATCCAAATTTCAAGTCATTCCAATTTGTAGAAAAAAAAATGGAAAATGAAACACTACCAGACAATCGTGACTGTGCGATGAACTTTGGACGGTGATGAGGGTAGTATCTTCTTATATATATATATATATATATATATATATGTATATATATATCTCCGGTCCATAATAGAACCATCCCAATTTCTTTGTATATGCTTCAACTCGTAACTTGTCAGTGCCCATGAACAGTCCTTTACCTGTGATGGATTTGAATATCTAAGAACTCTGTTAAGCGGCTTCAAGATGAGTAAATCATCGAGCATACATGAACTGACTAATCGCACTCACAACGTATGCAGAGTTTGGGTGTGAATGTGAAAGATATAGCAACCTGTCGATTAATCTTTGAAACATTCTCGCATATTTGAGAGTTTCACCCCTCTGATCATCCAGTTTGTGGTTTTGTTCTATAGGAGTATCTATTAGTTTAGATCCAACCTTTCTTGTTTCCTTAAGAAGGTCCAACACATGCTTCCTTTGATAAATAAAGATTCCTATCTCCCAAACAAATACTTCAAATGGACCTTGATCTTTAATTTCAAACGCCCTTGCCAAAAAGCTCTTGAGTTGCTGAATTTTATTAGTACAACTACCAATCACTACCATATTAGTGGTACTAACTTCGGTATGTTTTTACAAATAAGGTATGATTTGCATGACCCCATGTATACCCAGTTCTTTGAACAACACCATAACGCTCTCAAACCAAGCTCAGGGAGACTTCTTTAGTCCATAAATGGCCTTTCTGAATCCATAGATGTTTTCTTCATATCTAGGAGTCGGGGGTCCTAAATCCAAGTAGAGGGACTTGTCTATGATATACCTTTAAAGATATTAAAACTTCATCGTTGGTCTTCATAAGATAGATCTATATACACTGAGAATAACCTTCCACTAAAGAAACAAATTCTTGATAGCCAAAAATAAATGCACTAAGAGAGGGACCCTAACATTAGAATGGACAATAGCAAAAAGAGCAATGCTTTTATTGTTACTGGGTAAAAAATAGTTTCTACAACATGCGCCACTAAGGGACCTCTTTCCATCTCTTTATTCCATCGTGGCAAACAAAGAGTCTACTATAGAGGAGGAAATGGTGCCGGTGGGAGGTCGAAGAGTGTGGAACCCCTCATTCCGAAGAAACTTCTCCGAGGAGGAAACAAACCACTTTCTCTCCCTGTCGGCAGCTTTGCACCTTTCTTTCATCCCCACACAAGGGAGGGACCAGCTGGTATTGTCTCTTGTCCCTACAACGGTCTTCTCAGTGGCCTCTTTTTACAAGAAACTCATCCAACCTCCCACCTTCCCCCTAAACCCTCGTTCGACTCTTTCTAAGATTTGGCATACTATAGCACCCCCTAAAGTGCAGACCTTCAACCGGATAGCGGGTTCTCAAAAGGCACTTACTGTCGATCATCTCCAAAAGAAAGGGATTCCCATCCCCAACAGATGCATCATGTGTTTGTGTGAGGAGGAATCCAATCCCCACCTTTTCATCCATTGTAATCTTGCCCACGACCTCTGGAGTCTATTGCTACAACTGTTCGGTGTCCACTGGGTAACACCAATGACGGTCAAGGACCTAATAGCTTCGAATTATGCATTTCAATGGCCGATGGTTGGAAGAACCCTATGAAAGGCTGCAGTGGTAGCAACCATTTGGTGATCTGGACAGAAAGAAATGCTAGAATTTTCCAAGGACAGGTTAGCCAAGTCCGAACACTCTTTCATAAGGTTACATCCTTAGTAACCTTCTGGGCTTCTAACCGACACCTCTTCAAGGGTATCTCTGCGAATTCTTTTCTAAGTCAATGGGATAACATGCTATTCCACCGACCACGGAAGGCGAAAAGATCAAGCAACTGGAAGCCACCCCCTGATGGAGCCATTAAACTTAACTTCGATGGGTGTTCTTTGGGGAATCCTGGCCAAGCAGGAGCTGGTGGTGTCTTTAGAGTTCACCAACGCAATATCCTTTTTACTTACTCCGAATATCTTGGCTTCCAAGATTGTCAGGATACCAAATCAATGGCCCTTCTGAGGGGCCTAAAAAGTTTCGATCAATCTTAGGGGCGAAACCTAATAGTGGAGGGTGATGCGTATAACATCATAACATGGGCAACCGGGAGATCTACACCTCCATGGTATCTTGCTTCAATTTTTGATGATATTGCATACATCTGCAGGGATATGGCCGTCTTATGGATGCATACCTCGAGGACGTCAAACGAGTTCGCCGATCTCCTGGCGAAGGATGGGGCTAGGGCCTATGAAGAAGATCATACCCGGTCCATCTCCTTTTTTCTCTGGACCACGGAGGATACACTTAGACGAATATCTCATTGTATTCGGGCAACCTTATAATCCCATTTTTTGTAAACTCATTGTAAACCTCTTGTATGGGGGCAACTTTATAAGCCCATTTTTTGTATAGGGTCTGTTGACCTATTTTTTACCGAGAGTCCCATCTAGAGGCCAGTCTTGGATTAACCCAAAACTATACACCAACTCTTTATAGTAATACAAAAGTTAATGTTTATTAAAAAAAAAAAGAGTTTCTACAATATTTTGACTGTTCACAACCCTCACATTGAACTTTGACACACTACTTGAAATAAACAACTTAGAAAAAAAAACTTTAAATGACTAAAAAGGAAAGTGACCAAGTTAGAGATGCCACTACCACATCCTATTGTATTTAATACTACTGCTAGATTGAAGGGCTTGAGGAGTAGTTGTTGGCTTGTTGCCAAGTCTAGAATTTATAGAGACCACCAACTTCAAGACCGCTGCATAATAGGGAAAGAAAGAAGGTTACATGACGATTTAGACTCTTAGGAAATGCTACTAACATACATTAAGTTTGTAGTAAAATTGGGAACATGAAGAGCTGATGATGATGACATTTGAGGAGTAACATTTATAGTTCCTTTTCTAGAGATAGAAGAAATATATCCCTTAGTGATCCTAACCTTGTCTCTATCAGAATAAAGGGAATAAAAAAACAAGGAATACATGCTGGTCATGTGGTTTG